ATCAGTTGCTGTTATTCTTGTCATTACTCCGTGGTGCTTCGTAGGGAATGGGGAAATGGATGATGGGGGCTATTATTGGGGAGTATATAGGGACCACTTCGGGATCCATTCCCCCATTTCCTACTAAGAACCAGACAGAATCCCTGAACTCGAATTCCTAAACCCTGAAACCCAACACCCCTAAAACCCTATCACCATTGCTATCATCATTCTCCGATACGGTCTATGATCTAAGCGGCCGGAGAGCCCCTCAAAGCCTAAAGCTCAGGTCATACTGCTTGCTGGGAGGGTCGGGGGACTTGGTCAGTGGCTAATTAGTGTATGGGTTTAGGGTTAGGGTTGTAGAGTTATAGGTACCATAAAAGGGATCCTAATTGGTACTTATAATCAGGGTCTAAACTAAGTCCCCCGACCATCCAAGTGGTTTGGGGTGGATTCAGGGTTTAGGGTGCAAGAACCGCCATTGGCGAGAGCCTAATTCGCGGACATCGAAGCCACCCCTGAAATGACATTGTCCAACATCGGCAAAAGCGGGCAACAGAACACAACCTGACACACATGATGATGACACCCTTTACAGTACCCCTGGCGGCGCTCCACAACCTTGGGACTTAGTGTAAGGTACCAAACCAAACAAAGCTCAACCGGAACAACCGCCTCTTACAAAACTGATCGACTGTACTGCCTTTAGCAGGGAAGCAAACAAACTATGACCCAGACATGCAAAACACAGGATGGGGCCCTTCCGAGTAGGAGCTGCGACTGTTGCCAAGGGCTTAGGGCTTGGGGGGGGTAATGTAGGAGCATGATTAAGAAACCTTGGGCCTTTACTAGGGCTCTTTATATGAATCCGACTATTTGGGGGTTACCAGCTCAGGTTTCTGAATCAGGTTCCTACATTAGACTCCGGTGCTGTCAGGTGAACTCTGCAACAGATGCCCACCTCTCTTGTGCAGCAACACCTAGGCACAAGGGTTCCAGGGCGAATGTCGGAGCCAAGTACTTGTAATATAGGGGCCCTGATAAGTAGGACAAGGACAAGGTCTTGGTCTTATGTGATTCTCGCCTAATTATAGGGACTTCAACTGAATACGATTCCTAATTATTCAGACTCAAAGAGTAACGGGGCTTCGGTATTCTGTACCCTCTACCTCTACTCTACCGATATAATCCGCAAGCAGCAGCACGTTGCATGCAGAGACCTCAGTGACGAGCTTGCGGATTTATGGTTGTATGCGTTTATAATGTGTGCCTTAATTAGGACGCAAACCGGTCCTTCTGCGGTGCTTACCAAAGGGAGGTAAGGACCCCTTCACTGGTTGAGGAAAAGACTTTCACTGTATATAGCTCCTTATAATGGTTTCACATATAGCATATGTACAGAATTTCCATATATATATATACATATATATATACACACACATACATGTATGTATGTGTGTGTATATATATATGTGTGTGTGTGTACAGTGCTGAAATACTTTGCGAGACCAGCGCAAGCCGAGCAAAAGCGCATCCCATCTCCAAAACCCGTATCCAGAAACCTTACAAGCAGAAAGACGTATTGCAAAATCTGGAATCCAATCGCTCGTGTCCGAAAAACTATACCCAGAAATCCGAAGCCCGAACCAAAACATCACCAGAGATCCTAAGCCCAGATATCCATCTGCACAATCACTCACGGTGGTCTTTCATGTGCGGCATAACACAACCAATCCGAGACCTGACCCCTAAGCCCTTGTAAACTCTATGAGTCTATGCCTTACACCACACATCCCAGAACCCTCATGCGATGAGCTCTCCAATTTCAAATTCCTAGCACCCTAAGGAACCTACCTTTCTTAGGGTTCCCGAATATGAGTTCTTTATAAAACGTCCCTAAAATGGTAGGTTATTTGGGGTTAAGGTATACCTTGTAGAGCCTTACGTCTTAAACCACTCATTTATGGTTTAGGGCTTAGGCGCAACCTAATTCCAAAACCAGCACCCTTGGTCATCGTGTGCCGATCTCCGTCTAAGCCCCCCGGCCCTCTGGACATCCGCAGGTCCTCAGAATGAGGGCACCCTTTCCCATCTTCAGCTTTCAGAACCACCTCCGCCCTCCCCCCTCACGCCTGGCTTTTCAGAGAACGGTGCATATGAGCAAAAAATGGTCCGAATTAAGTCACGGTTTACACACGTTGAAGGGCTTCTTCCTCAAGGGTCTTCAACCCGCAGGCTTTATTTTGCGGATTCTTGGAGGGCCGGATGGTCGGATCCTCCTTGGGGCTGTGATGTTTCCCTCAAAAAGGCTACTGACTAACTAAATCCCCAAACCCTCCAAGGATCTACGCTTCAGGCATTAGGGTTTAAAGGCCTGGATTTGGACCCCTCATGCAAGAACTTATTCTGAACAGCTTGGAAGGGATATCCTGATCCCCAACGACTTGTTTGGCCGGAGTTTGGCGTTCACGGGTTTTGGGCCTCGGGGCTTAGGGCTTAGGGTGGAGGGTTTAGGGTTCAGAGAGATTCCCAGAGGCTTCACCATCCCAAGCCCAGGCCAAAATTATTGGCCGGATCTGTTTGTGCAAGCCTCCTGTACACTCGGCATATTGGGAAACAGCTCTGATAGGTGCGCACGGTAAATCCCTCACCTGCGTTTAAAGGCCAGAAACGCAGATAGGGCCCTTGACAATTACCAATACTAGTTTGGGGGGTTCCGCAGTATGATTACAGTCTAATTGTTACGGCCCCTATATTATCCTTTTGCCGACTCCTTGTTCAGGGAAGAAGAAGTTTTGAATCGCACAAAGCTGCACTGCAATATTTTTTCACGCTCGGAGAACCAAGTGAAAGAGGTCGGAGCATACTCTCAGCAGATCCACTCAATGTCCAGGTTCCCTAAAGTAACACACTCCATAGCCGTTGCCACCTTTTGTCTCGGCGCGCTTTTTGCAGTATGGGGGGCACTTTTCCTTGCACGTGTTCTGGTCCGGCCACTCCACGATCTGCTCCCCGGAACAGTAGCAAAACCACCCTTTTTTCCGGTTGGTGTCCGCATTGGTCACCTCGTTGGTTACCTCGTCGGTCAGCTGGTCAGCCATCTGGTGAGTCACCTGCTTAAAGGGTCATGGGACTTAGAAATTAGGGTTATAATTAGGGTAACTATACTTATGTATAATTACTTATAACCCCAATTAGGGTACTTATAACCCTACTTACTAAGTCCCATGATCCTCCAAGTGTTTCCATGCTTCCCGTACAGCCATCTCCTACCGAACACGTCTTATCCACTACATCCTCCGCCTGTCGTACGAGCTCTCTTGTGGATTTTTTTGATCAATCTCCATGCCTCTCGGACGGCAGCACAGAGGCCCATGAGCACCAAGAGAAGGCGGAAGAACATGGCTTCGGAGTGTCGAATGTTGACAAGCGACAGAAGAGTTTGCTTGAGCCTCCACATGTCCAAACGAGCGAGATGATGCGATGACGTGAAAAGAGACCACCAACCTGCAGCTACACAGTGAAACTTAACCCCAGCCCTGCATGCTGCATCCTAGCTGAGCTCGTCGGAAACGGAAAAACCATTTTAAGCTGCCAGCTTTTCACTTTTTTTAGCCCCTAAGTCGTTTCGGGAGCGTCAAGTCACACTTAGAAACACATGCTGTCTATTGGGGGTGATGCTCTAGATGAAGACTGCTGCTCCCATATTCCCTGTGTCACTACGTCCAACAACACCTACCCATAACTGCGCCGCCATTCCTAATCTCGAACCCTTTCCCCTAAACTCAACCAGACCCTGACCCCCAAACCCTAAACCCAAAACCCTAAGTCCTAAGTCCTAAAGGATCGCCGATGCGCCTCAATCCTAAGCCCTAAACCCAGGTATAGGAGTCGTTTGGGCCAGGGAAGGTTGCGGTAATTGTGGTTTAGACTTTGGTTCAGGGAGGTTTAGGGTTTAGGGAGGTGGGGGGTGGAGTGGGAGGTGGGGGGTGGGAGGTGGATGCGGGATGGGGGAGGGGCTATGATTCAGCACTCAGGGATTTATGGCACAGGGTTCTGCGTTAGGACTTTGGGCGTAAGGCTTAGGACTACCTATTCGGTTGTGGGGCCCCTATAAGTTCTGTATTGGGGTGTACCATCAAAACCTACAAAAAGGAGGCTATGGTAGTTTAAGGCCGGACTTTAGGGCTTAAAGCGCAGCTGAGCTGCGAAGGGCACTGCGAGTCCGATGGGCGGAACCCACACCTCAAGCAGGAGCCGAGGACACGGGTGGGGACTTGAGGAGCTTTTAGGGTTTAGGGCTTTAGGGTTTAGGGGTTTAGGGGTTTAGGGTTTAGGGTTAAAGAGGTTGCGAAACATAAAACCCGAAGGGTCCAAGTACCTAAGAATCATATACTCTCCCAACTACTAGCCTACATAACTACTATCCTGAACCCCGAGTACCTAATTATTGGGTCCTTTGGACCCTTAGGGAAAAGGGTTGAGTGGTTTTAGAGTTCATGACGTCGAAGGGCTTGAAGCCGAAAGTGTGTAGGTGGTAAGCTTCAGGGATATGGTAGTGGTTTGCACAGTCTTACACCATGTAACTTTGACCACAAACGTGCACTCGAAACGCCCCTGAACCCAAAACCCGAAACCCCTATAGACACCTAAACCCCGCAGCCCCAAAACACTAGACCTCAAAACAGGGTTGTGGCTTTCCGCCAGCCTCTTCAAACCCCAAAGCCTGAACCCTCAGCCCCTAAAGTGTAACATTCCCCGAGTGTAAGACATCGCTTTCCGAATGCCTGTGAACACCAGACCCTACCGCCGTACACTGTAGGGGCCTTCACCGTTAGTACTCAGTTGAAATAGGGCTGTTGGGTATCTGATTATCGAATTAGAATTATAGCCTCATGATCTTCAGGAACTCAGACAGAGGAACACTAGTAGTAATAACTCAGCATTCGAAATTGCGTGAAAGCTTGTGGTTTACTCGAGGTAGCAAGATAGCACTGCCGAGGCAGTGGCCACATCATCTGTTGCGCAAGTACCAGCCGACTCCATCAATAAGCGCGGAATCTTTCGCGCATGTCTGAGACGGGCCTGCCTAAGCCCTTAAGTACCATAAACCCTAAATCTTGTTCCCCGATCGGCTTGTAGTACTGCGGCAACGCAGAACCTTATCATCCTATTCTGTCGTACATTGTACAGCCTCAAGTCAACCATCTGCTAGAAAGAAATGCAGCGCAATAACCATAAAGAGAAGGTGCCCGAGGACGCCTCATGCCCTGACGTGTTCTGAGGATCTGAATATTCCCATCTTCCTGCTTCCCAGAAGGCTTAAAAGCCGTGGGAGTTAATCCGACCCTGCGGTCTCGGTCAGAATCAGAATGTCTAGAGCCGACCTTTCTGCAGAAAGCCATACTGCAGTGCACCCCCCTACTCTACAAAGGCCCCTACACTAAACCCCTATATGTTATAATTAGCAACCTTCTAGCAATTATAACCTTTGAAGGAACCATCTATGTATATAATGGATCCCTATTTAAGTTGGATTCCTTCCCTCTCCAGTTCGCGGTCCCCGCAAGCATGTCGGCATGTGAACAGCCTCTCCAGCAGTGAGAGCCAATTGCGCACGAATTTCCAGCATGCAGAGCCATTTATACTGAAATATTCAGACTAGAGTAAGCTAAAACAATAAGGGCCTGCAATACAGCGACGTGAGGGAAATACGTACAATCCCCGGAACGACAAGTCACGACGCGACTGAACTGAAGGGAAACGTCCGACCCTGCGCTTACGGTCCATAGCTCCGGACTACCAGGCATCTGTTATAGGATGGGGTTCAGAATGCACCAAGCACGCAGCGTGCAAACTGGGGCATGCAAGAGGCAACAGCAACAGCAACAGCCTTGTGGTTATGGATGCAGCTTCATGACGGCTGGTGGATGGGTCTGGGTTCCAGGTGCTTCGGGTTGGGACTCGGGGAAAATTAAGAGCTGGTGTCAAGAGTGAGGGGGGATTGGGGCAGCTTGCCCCGTTCGAGAAGGGGCCGTGACCAGGTCATCCACACCGCACTAATCTACCATGCCATAGAACTTGGGAGATTGATAAGCCCCTGTGTCCTGAACCCAGCACCCTAAACCCAAACCTGCAGACATGATAAGGGTGGTTGTCAAAATCATGGTCCCTTGTTGGGTACCCTAGATATTAGGTGCCGTATCATTTCAGGGGCCCAAAAACGGACCCTAATTCTGACAACCACCTATCCGATAGGCACGAAAGCTTTTGCTTGCTGTCCTCCATCGTTCGGACTCGAGAGGCATCAGAGAGCCCCAAGGAACCGTCCTCAGGGTCTGCTTTGGGATCAAGATGGCTCGGCTTAAGGTTTAGGGATTAGGGGTTTAGGGGTTTAGGGCTTAGGGGTTTAGGGTTTTAGGGGTTTAGGGGTTTAGGGTTCAGGCGGGGTTCAGGTATTAGGCACTATAGGATATGGGGTTTTCGGCTCTGGGTGACGGCTAGGGCTGGGGTTTAGGGTGGATTCGGGTTTCAAGTCGATGGGCAGCTAAGCCATCAGTTCAAAAGCATCATTCATCCCCCCAAAACCCTCAACCCCCAACATTGCACATGTACCCTCGAGAGGTCGGGGCTGCTCAAAGGCTCATGTTGGATATTGTGGCGATTGTGTGGGTCCAAAATACGGGCCTTAATCGTGGGAACAAGGTTGTGGGTCCATTAATTATTATAGTATGAATACAATAATGTTGCCGAACCTTACCTGAGCCCCGTGTTCCGGATCCGGATGTTCCGGGTTGGGGGGATCCCGATGACTAAGGACGACTAAAGTGATATTGTGAGCTCGAAATGTCTCGGTGCATGATATCTTCTTCTCGTGCAAGCAGCAGCAGTACTTGCTGCGGCACATCAAACATGCAACAATGCCGTGCCTACCGGGGAACAGCAACAAGAAGGGTTCCGGGGCAGCTGGAATCTGGAAGTTCTGCACAAAAAGCACATCGGAAATCCTGCTCTGAGCATCAAACTTGCGCGTCGGATACATCAGTCACTCATCAGTCGTCGGCTTTGACGGAATGAGCACGTGCTGCAAGCGGCTGCCGCCCCACTCAAGCACATCACGCAGGTCTTGGTTCTTTTGTCTCAGATGTATGTCCGTAAACGAGTAAATGTGTTTTGCCAGCTCATGTTTTTCCGACTATGTTGCTCGGCTCAGTGAACATCACAACAAGCAATTGTGGAATCGTGGCATAGTTGCTCGTGACAGCCCTTGCAGATCCATGCATGCGTGCACTGGCCGGGCCTCAATCTTTGTTCATTCTGCGAAGCTCTTTGTGCGTGTACAGGTGGCATATGCTTGACCCTGAACCATGAGCCTTGCTCCATAACTCCAAGCCCCAGTCGGCCCGATACCCAATAAAATCCACGGCACCGCTAATTAACAGTGTTGCTTCTCCAACAATCAAAAACGGTTGCACTGTCCGGATGGCTCAGGATTGCAACAACATGCAACAACCCCAAGGTTGGATTGGGTGTTGGAGATGGAACAGTCGTGCGTAAACCACTCTTCTGCGTAATTATAGCGTGAGCCGTAAGGCCACTTGTTGATAAGTCGATGAGTGCTGTCCCTACCGTCCTGAATGGAGCCCATCGTTTCTCAGGGTGAAAATGGGAAACTTTTCAGGTATATCGTCATATAGTCATCTGCAGGAGCCCTACTACACGGAATGATGCTGATTATTCAGGCTTCCATACTACAACCTTGACGTCACCTACCTGACAAGGGGGTGGCTGGGGCCTAAGGTGTCCCGCCTAGGTTCCTCTCTTAAACAAACCTTACCTGGACCCTAAGGAACCTACTTTTTCTAGGGTCCCCTAATATGATTTCTTTATATAAATCCCTTTCAAAGGTAGGTTATTTGGGGTGAAGGTACTTCCGCACCGTGTTGCATCAGTAAGTGCTTCGGCCCTAGAAACCCTAAATCCTGAACCACCGTAAACTTGATCCCAACTTTGAAGAAAAGCTCCGGGGGGAGTTGAATTCCTGAAAGCCGTAAGAATCTGGTTTTAGGTGCCTCAAGACCCAAACCGCCAGCTGGAAGCCCTGACCCTAAGCTGCTAGACATTAAAACGCTACAAGCCCTGTAGGCCCTTCATGTAAACAAGGTGATTCTTGTGTCTTGCTGTCTGGTTGTCCTGGTCCTGCAGGCCGAACGTCGCTTGTGCAGCCGGCGACAGATGCCTGGCGAGCGTCGCAAGACTTTTTGTTACAGTTGCCATGTGATCATTGCTTCGCAGGCAATGGTCGACATAGACCCGGAACAAGGGAGACAACTAACACCTTCAAACACCTCCGATAAGTTGTTTGTCGTCTTAGTCAGCGATTCACCCCGCACCATCACTGAAGCTTTAGTCATGCATGGGGCTTCGGGATGCTCACGAAGGATAACTCGCCAACAGGTCACCTCCGGATCATCAGTGTCGGCCTTTCCATCAAAGTAGTATTGGTAATTATTTAGGCCCCTAGTGCCAAATAGAACAAAGGGTTTGAGGTTGAGGGTTTGGAGGGTTTTTCGGGTTCGGGGTTTCGTAATAGACCTGGTACTATTCCATTAACACGTACTTGGGCACATAACCCCAAAGGGGACTTTCAGCCCTAAACCCCAGAACCCTTGTCCCCCAAACCCGCCTAAACTGGCCACTGGCCTAAACGCGAAAACCCTGACCCGTAAACCAAAAACACTAAACCCCTAACCGCTAAACCCTAAACCCCTAAACCCCTAAACCCTGAACCCCTAAACCCTAAACTCTAAAATCGGCAAAGTTCCAGAGATCCTTGCCCTCTTACATTTTCAGGTGGGCCTTTCGGTGCTTCTGCAAAAACATTCCTACACACTTAAAGAGTCATAGAACTTAGTAACTACCTTAACCTCCCAAAACCTACTTTTTTGTAGGGTCCCTATATTTTCCATATTTGGGTTTGTCAAAGAACCTACAAAACAGTAGGGTTTGGTAGTTTAAGGTAGGGCTATAATTAAGCTAACTATACTTATACCTGCTTCTAACCCCAATTAGGGTACGTTTAACCCTACTTACTAAGTCCCATGATCCTCCAAGCAGGATCCCCTCAAAGGAATGAGGGAAAACAGAAAAAAAAACCGTTGGCTTAACCCTAACTTAAACAATTGCCCTACAAGCCCGAAACACCTAAACGCAAATCCCTAAACCGCAGAATCCATGATTGCCCTCAACCCCGAAATCCCTAATAAAGCTCTACACACTTAAACCCCTAAACCACTAAACCCTAAACTAAAAACCCCTACACACCAAATCCACAATTAACCTAAATCCTTACAGACCTAGACCCCTCAACCCCTAAATCCCCAAACCCCTAAACGCTGAATCCACACTTGGCCTAACTCCCTAACGCCCTAAAGACCTAGACCCCTCAACCCCTAAACCTATAGACTCCAAACCCCTAAACGCTGAATCGACAATTGACCTAAATCCCTAACGCCCTAAAGACCTAGAACCCTCAACCTCTAAATCCTAAACCCCTAAACGCTAAATCCACAATTGACCTAGATTCCTTTATAACGCCCTAAAGACCTAGACACTTAACCCCTAAACCCTAAACTCTGAACCCCTAAACACTTAGTCTTACAGTCCCCTAAACCCTAAAGTCTGAGCTCCCCTCATTAACCCCTGAATCCATACTTGCCCGAAACCCCAAACCCCAAGCTCTAAACCCCTAAGCACCTGAACCCTAAACCCAAAGCCCCTCAAACCCTAAACCCTAAACTAAACAAACCTTATAAACTCTAAACCCCTAAACACCTACATCCTAAACTCTCAAAACCCCTAGATCCTAAACTCTACAACCCGAAACCCTGAACCCTACGACCCTTAAACCCCCTTAAAGCGGCCTCCGGAAGGTCTCTTCCGACAGGCGCCGGCGCAGCGCGGACTCGACACGCGCATCGCGCTCCGCGATGCCTGGGCTAACTTGGAGGATCGTGGT